GCTCTTGGTCAGTAATGCTTATGAGCCGATTATGATGTAAATCTTCAAAAGTGTTCTGGCTGAATGCGGTTACTCTCTCCAGCTGCAGGATTCACTCGTACAGTAATTCTGCCGATCAGGCATCAGGTGTGTAGAGTCCAGCAGCAGTGTTACACTAGTGAACAGAGCTGATCGCTGTCTCACCGCTAATGGTTGGAGAGTTTCAAGCCATTTGATTCTTCTAGTGCTTGTAATGTTTAACCCTAAACCTCTGGGGACAGTATTTTTATTTTTTTTTAATAAAATTTTTTTTAATTCTCTGTTTTTCTACAAGGATGTGTTACATTGATAAAAAGTGATAGTAAAGACTTAGATTGTTAGAAAATATTTCTATTTTGAACAAATGCTGTTTTTTTGTTTTTTTTTTACTTTTTATTCATCAAAGAATCCTGAAACAAAAAATAGTATCACAGGTTTCAAAAAAATATTAAGCAGCACTGATAACTGAAAACTCTTTCCAGCATTGATAATAAATCAGCATATTGTTAATACATCAGAATGATCATTACTGGAGTAATGATGCTGAAAATTCAGCTTTGATCACAGCAATAAATTACATTTTAACAGATATTCACACAGAAAACAGATACATTAAATTGTAATAATGTTTCACAATATTACTGTTTTTCTGTATTTTTGATCAAATAAATACAACCTTGATGAGCAGAAGATACTTCTTTAAAAAAAAATGCTTTAAAATATATATATATATTCCCAATTTTGCTCCCCGATTCCCTGGGACCCTGCGGTGTGTGTGTTTTGGAGCAGCTATCAATGAAGATGGTTCAAAGACTCAATCGCGTCTCAGCTGAGGAAGCGGCTTTGGCAAGAATGAAAACTGCTGAAATGAGAAGAGGAGAAAAGAACATAGGATGAAAAAAATGAGGTGAGAAAAAAGAGAAAGAGACAGAGGGAGATATTCTGGGACTGGCGTGACATCCTGCACCCCAGCAATTATCCCATCAGCCCTGGACAAAAGCAGCTCTGAACTCGAGATGTGCGCAGCTAGACACTTTCAAAACTGTCAGTGGGCCGCCTGAACCACCAGTCCACTTAAAACACCTCGAACAATCAGGCTGCTTCTGAATAATGAGGCTAGTCAGAGTGTGAACAGCATGATTCATGTTGAAATGTCCAAGGGTGCGTTTCCCGATAACCTCATAGTGTGCTACGAAGACTCTAAAAGTATGTCTTAACTAAAGGTATACCTGTTCTAGACGTGTTCCCTGAACTATACCTTAGGAGGCTGCTTTCTTACGTGCGACGTTACCAGGTGCTGTCCACGGCGGAGGTGCTGAATTGATTGATATCGATGGCTTGAGAATGGATTATTCACTCTATGCAGGGGCTGCTTCAGTGCGTTATGTGAGAAAGCTGTGCTCTTTATAAAAGAAGTGTTGATTTTAAATAAAGACAAGGAACTCTTTTTCTGTTAGAACGCAACGAACTTGAAACTTTTACTTTCGCTTTGCAACATACATCACATCAAGGAATTAAACCAAGAAAGAACAATTTATGCTCAGAGCACCTCCCACATAAACTACAGGAGACACTGCTTAATAATTTAACAGCTTTTAACAAAAGAAAGAACGAAAGAAGGAAAGTGCTTTCCAACAAACAGCACTTCAGAAATAGCTGAAATTGCATTTATCAGGACTCATGGGATCTTATAAACATAATTGAAATTGCAAACTAAATCCAACCCTGGATATTTTATATAATTTCGAAATGAGTGTGCGAACCTGCAGCCTCATGCCCAAACGTATCATGCGTAACGGCAGTACACCGTCACTGACCTTTGAAAGGGTCATTTATATTATCATAATATATTTTCCATAGTGTCTTCATTTACTCCACAACCAGGGCTTATTGCCCAGCAGCCGCATCTCATTATTGGTGAAAATCACTCATTTCTGTTATTGGATGACCTACTCAATAAAAGCACAACACGTGAAACATATAATCAACAGCTGGCGGAGAAAAAAGAGAGAAAGTGGAGAGCCGCCAGCAGTTGAATTTCGCCCTTACGAAAATTAACCATGGTTTTACTGTAGTGAAAGTGTAGTAACCATAGTTTAGTTAACTTTAACTCTAATATTTGGATTAGCCAATATAAAATCCAATATTTATGATTAATTTTATTTATTTGAATGCACTAAAAGTAGCAATGGACTATTAACCATGTGCTGTCATATTTAACAAAGAGACACGTTCACTCACACACACAATTATTGCTTTTAATATAAAGCAACATTCAGTTTATATAATCTTAATGTGTCGTGGCCTGTCCACAGGTTTTACTCGTCATAATGGTAACCACCACAAAACAGCAACATTACACAAATCTGTTTTAAAGAACATTAAATATAAAAGAACAGATCTCCTCCAATATTAATGTTGTGAAAACACACATATACAACTCTTAATGTCAACATTTACTCTTTTTATACAGTCTGTGTCAAAGCATGCTGGGAAATCAGATTTCCCTCGCTCTGTGTGCAATTGTTAATTGTGTCAAACTCACTTAATTTCTTAAGTTGTTGTTAAATAAGAAGAACATTGATATGGAATATGCAATAATTATAGCTCTTGAAACTTTATGAAAGTTTAACAAAATAATATTTGGATTAAAATTAATGTAATTTGTTAGTCAAACAGTAATTTCTTTTAGTGAAAAAAAAATTGATGTATATTCTAGGCAAAAAAAAAAAAATTCGGTAATTTGGTATTTCCAACTCAAGCAATCACTTATGTAATATTCAGAGAATTTATTAAGGTCGGTTAGGTTTAATTAAATGTTAATAATCTAAAAAACATGTCTAATCAATTGAAACTTTAAAACTTCGTATCTAAATAGTGTTTTTGTGTTTTAATATTTGCAGACACTAATCTATATCATGATTTGATTAATTGCACAGCCCTACTTTTGATTTATTCATCCAAATTCTGTGTTATACAGTAAATTCCATTTTTATGACTGCATTCCACGATTACGCATACGTTTTACACATCGCAGAAATCATAGGGCCCTAATATAACCATATTTGTGACCTTGGACCACAAAACCGGTCTTAAGTGTCAATTTTTCAAAATTGAGATTTATACATCATATCAAAAATTTATACATATCAAAATCTGGAATCTGAGGGTGCAAAAAAATCTAAATATTGAGAAAATCGCCTTTAAAGTTGTCCAAATGAAGTTCTTAGCAATGCATATTACTAATCAAAAATTAAGTTTTGATATATTTACGGTAGGAAATTTACAAAATATCTTCATGGAACATGATCTTTACTTAATATCCTAATGATTTTTGGCATAAAAGAAAAATCAATAATTTTGACCCATACAATGTATTTTTGTCTATTGCTACAAATATACCCCAGCGACTTAACACTGCTTTTGTGCTCCAGGATCACATATATACCTTAGCAACAACCGGCCATAATACCCTTGCAACCACCTAGCAACACCCTAGCAACCACCCTGAACACCTTAGAAACCACATAGCAACACACAAACACTTTGCTTGCTCTCCAGTGATTTAGTTCACTGGTCTGAATACATTTGCACATGTGCTCCTGCATGCAGACACACAGTCGTCATGTCTGTGATGCTCTCAAAGCTCGTCCTTCACCAGGACCATCCGCCAGCCTGTCAGCCTGTGTTCAAGACCAACAGGAAAACAACAAAATGAGAGCCTCCTTCTCGCTCTCTATCTCTCATCATAATGTTCCTCCTCTTCGGTCCGAGGGTGTCATATGTCTCTGTGAATGTGTGTGTGTGTGTGTGTGTGTGTGTGTTGTGAGTCATCAGCCTTAAGCGATATTGATTGTGGTACATGCAGGGCTTCAGATGTAATCAATGTTTCATAATTTAATGCTCTGAAGAGTCATTTATGTGTTCAATAGAAACATAATGGATGATTGCGGGAGTAATAGATGTTTAGACATGATGCAGTCCAAACACAAACCCTCATCTAGCATTCTGAGCTTCATCGCTACTCAAAAATCTAAACACATCTGCAGTATTTATATAGTATGCAGCAAGTGCTTTACTTAGACTTTTTTAGTGTGTGTGTGTGTGTGTGTGTGTGGATGTCTGCAGG